GGAGACGGATTGGTTGGACAATGATATATATCATCTCTTAGGCTCTCCAGGGGTGCCTGAGAAATGGCGGACTGTTTTCCGAACGATCCCCCTCTGGCATCATTTGCAAAGTGCGCCGCGTCCAGAGCGAGTGATCCTGTACACAGATGGCTCCGCGTCCACTAATAAAAAGGACCTCGCACCGGCAGTCTATGGGTGTAGCGCGCATACAACGGCGCCTCCGGACTCCCCTTTTCACATAGGTGAGGCGGACGAGACACCTCAAACAGGAGAACTTCTGGCCCTCGCTTGGGCTTGCCTTTGGGTTTTGGAACACGGGCCAGGGCTTGGAGCACCGATAGAGTTCCGTTATGATTCCACCTCGGCAGGAGGGGGGGTTTTGGGAGCCACCAAGTGCCCGAAAGGAGCCACTACACCCCACGGGCCGGCCCTGGCGGCATTTGCCAGTCAAGTCCGACAAAGTGTTGAAACACGGTGCTCTGTGAGCCATCAACATGTGCCAGGGCATGCAGGTGTGGTCGGCAATGAATTATGCGATCAGCTGTCCAAACATAGCCGGCGCCACCCCAGCCCGGTATATGATCGCATCCTGCCTTTGTGGCCGAGGCAATGGTGGGCACACGATCTTTGGTGCTGGGGTTGGCTGGCACATGTGTCCAGCCCTCACTACCCCAGTCTTCCTGCTTTCGAGGCCGAAGCCTATCGCATGCAACAACAGCCAGTGCGACCGCAGCCGCCTAGCCTAGGTCTAAAGCAAAACACGTGCAGAGCCGCACAGGTGCTGTACAATTTCACGGCCGTCACCCACAATATCCTGTCCATGTATGATCCATCTGCTCCCAAGGGACGTCTCGCTCGCCAAGGACGTACAGGTTTGCTTATCTCAGGCAAGAGAGACGTCCCCAAAAAGCAGCTGCTGGCTGCTAACGTGTGGCTTGTCGGTTTCCAAGAGACCAGACTGCCCGATACAGCTACACTGCCGGATCGGGACTTTCACATGATAAGCTCCGCGGCCAATGCGGCAGGCCAGGGCGGTTGCTCAGTGTGGATAAACAAGCAACATCCCTACGCCATAGATGGCCAACACAAATATCGCATACGTGCCGACCATGTTGTCGTGACCAGCCTATCGCCCCGACACATCCAAATACAAATCGATGCACCCCGCATCCGCCTCACAGTGCTTGTTCTGCACGCACCGCGGGTGTCAGCCCAAGGGGAGTCAGCTGTTCGAGATCTGGCAAGAGCGCACCAAAGATTTACAGCGCCGCCCCAAAGGGTCAGATTTCGTTTTGCTAGGGGACATGAACAGCCACCTTGGCTCGGAAGTCACAGCGGCTGTGGGGCCCTACGGGGCAGAGCAGGAGTCCACAGAAGGCTCCCATTTGCATGCCCTGTTGCACACCGTCGAGGGTTTCCTCCCGGCTACCTATGAAGCCTACCAGCAAGGTGAGCATTGGACCTGGTGCAGCCCCGGCCCGTCACCAACTAGGCATAGACTAGACTTTGTAGCCCTGCCACAAACATGGCGAAACCTTGACATTAGCACTTGGGTTTGGTATGATTTTGAATCCATGCAGGCTCGTCAGGACCACATGCCGGCCTGCTTACGTCTGCAGTTCAGCAAGACTGCCCCACCCACCAGCTATACGTCAAGTAAGCGGAAAGCTATACGGCCCGGTAGACAACAGCCGGACGACATACGACAAGCATTTGGGGAGTGTCAGCGGCAGTGGCCTAACCGTCCATGGTGGGAGGACATCGACGACCACTACCGGCACTGGGCACAGCAGCTCAACAAGGCAGCAGCAGCCCTGTGCGAACAGCCAGGTCCACCAGCTACACAAGAATATCTCACCCCTGCCACCCTACAGCTTGTGCGTGATCGACGTGTGGTCCGAGGATACTTGCATGCTGAGGAACAGGAGTATCGGCGGCGCCTCCTCCTAATTGCTTACAGCGCCTTCGTCCACCTAGCTAGGAGGACCGCCTTCACCGCACGAGCTCAGCACACAGCAGCGACTTGGTTGCGCGAGATCGATGTAAGTGTAGCTCAAGCCCTTGAAATTCTAGGTGAGCAGACCGTAGCAGTCAAGGCTGCCGTTCGGCGTGACCGCATCATCTATTTACAGGGCCTGGCACAAGAGATCACCTTGCAAGACCTGCGGCGGCCCAAAGAGCTATATGCGGCCGTATGCAAGGCCTTCCCACGAGCAGGAGCGGCCAAGCGCACCAAGTTCCAGCCCATACCAGCAGTCCGCCTGGCCAGCGGGCAGCTTGCTCAGACTCCTGAAGAACGTGTTCTCCGTTGGACAGAGTATTTCCAGGAGCAAGAGGGTGGCCGCAAAGTCACGCCAACTGAGTATCTTGCTGTTTTCCAGACCCCTCACATCGACCCTTTGCCACAGGGTCCTGTTTTCGCGATCGAAGATGTGCCGACTCTCGGCGATCTTGAACACCAGCTGCTGACCATGAAGTATGGGAAAGCATGTGGCCCTGACTCCGTTACGGCAGAGGCCCTCCGCCTTGCCCCTCCACAAAATGCAAGGGCCATGTACAGCGTGCACCTGAAGGCAGCTCTGGGGGTCAGAGAGCCCACGGAGTGGCGAGGAGGGGCGCTCATGTGCCTGGCCAAACGTGCAAGCGCAGCACTTAGCTGCACATCCTTTCGGTCGATCCTCCTTGCCAGCGTGCCAGCTAAGGCCCATCATAGGATGTTGAGGGATAGGCTCACCAGTAGTTTTGAGAACTACAAAACGCCTTTGCAAGCCGGACAGTTGCCAGGTATCGGTGTCGAATCCCTGTCTCTCATAGCACGCAGCTATCAGCATCATGCTCATGGTCAGTCGTTGCACTATGCGATGACGTACTACGACGTCCGAGCTGCTTTCTATAGAGTGATACGACAGATTCTCTTTGTCAGCGAATCTCGCCAAGATGCGCCGTTCCTTGAGTTACTACATGGGCTGGGAGTGCCGGATGTGGCAGTCGGGGAATTAACGACGCACCTCGAAAAACTGGCTATTCTGGCCGAGGCCGAAGTAACGCCACACCTGCAATCGATGATCGCAGATCTTTTCAGGGGCAGTTGGTTCCGACTCGACGGCGGGGGGCCCCTGGTCGCAACCTTCAAAGGCACGCGGCCAGGGGACGCCCTGGCAGATATGCTCTTTGCGTTTTCATTTGCGGCATACCTTCGTGCCACTGAACAGGCCCTCAGTGATGCGGGTTTAGCTACAGCATGGCCACCGGCACCCACAGCTGAGGGCATGCCAGCCCATGAATCGGGGACAGAGCTTCCACCCATTGGCTGTCTGGCATGGGCGGATGATTATACTCATCTGCAAGCCCACCGAGATGCTGATACCCTGCTCTGGCGTACCCAGCGCTCCACCGCCCTCTTGGTGACGCATGCAACATCCCTGGGCATGGAGCTAACGTTTGCGCCAGAGAAGACAGCGATTTTGCTCTCTTCCACCTGTCCGCGGCACCCGAACGGCCTCCTTGCGGTCGATGTTGATGGCCATCTCGGCATGTGGGTAAGGGATGACATAGCCAGGCAGGAGCATTTTCTTAGAGTCGTTGACAGCTATCGGCACTTGGGTAGCATCACAGTGGCAAATGGTGCACCAGGCCCAGAGTTGCAGTATCGGTTTTCGCAGGCACAAGCTGTGCTCCGGCCCTTGAAAGGCAAGCTTTTTGCATCCCCAACGATTCCGCTTGCCCTCCGCAGGACTCTGCTCAGGTCACTCATTGTCTCGCGCTTTGTGTTTGCGAGTGCTACCCTTTTCATCCAAGTGAAGCAGCACCGCCGCCGTTGGTGTCAACTCTACGTACAGTTGTGGCGAGGATTACACAAGCGCCGCAGCGCTACACAGCAACCGCACAGCTACGAGATCTTGCGTCAGGCGGGCGCACCATCGCCTTTGCTAGCGCTGGCCCATGCCCGTGCAGTTCTTTTGCAGCGCGTGCTACATAATGGACCTGATCCTCTCGTGACCCTTTTGTGGCGACACTGGCGTGCGCACCCTACTTCCTCCTGGTTTAATCTCCTTCTGGGCGACATAAAGGTAGTAGCGGTGTATGAGCCATCGGCAAAACTGCTGTTGGCCAGCGACGAGCCACTGCAGGCCCTTTGTGAGGCCTGCGAAGCAGAGCCACAGTGGTGGGTAAGGAGGGTTAAGAAGGCCTGTGAGGCCTTCAGCCGGGATCTTGAGCAATGGGCACAGGAGCATCGGGCACCTTCTGAGCGTCCAACAACGTCCGAAACCGCGGCGGGTCCGCTACCAGTAGAGGAGGCCGCAGCAGACCCTCCCACTCTGCCTTTCAAATGCAGCTATTGCAATGCGGCTTTCCGCCTGAGGAAGCATTTGGGGACGCACCAGGCCCGGGCCCACCACGTGTATAGTGTCGTTCGACACTATGCACCCCTGCCCTATTGCCTTTCCTGCCACAAATTCTATCATACCGTAACCCGCACACAATTTCACTTGAAGCGATCCAAGGAGTGCTTGAACCGAGTCATGCACTTAATTCCGCCTATGAGCCTCCCTGATGTGGTTGAGGCCGAAAGGATAGATAAACAGCGACAGCAGCGGCTTCGCAAAGGAGTGTGGCAGGACTTCCAGGCGGCGCCGCCTGCAACCCTAGCCCTAGGACCCCGGCTACCGGTATACACTGAAGCCCTAGGCGACTGCCAGGATGAGGATATTACCCTAAGTAGACTGCAGCGGCAATACAGGCCCTCCCGGCAAGTTGTACAGTGGGTGACATCCTATATCCAAGCAGCTTCTACCGAAGGCAGCAGAGGGGACACTCCAGATTTCTGGCTAGCGAGGCCAGCAAAGACTGTCGCCACAGCCGTTTCACCGTCTTGAGGTTTGCATTTTTGGGAAGCGCTCCCAGTGAGCTCGACCGTCCGCACAGAATCAGAATCAGAGAGAGACTGCAAACTCCCAAACACCCAACCAGTCCAAGAAAAAAAGAACCAGTCGGGTGGCCCGATCCGCTTGAGCAAGGACAACGTAGCCCAGCCTGGGCAAAAAGGCGTCAGCGTGGATCCAACCAAGGGGTCGTGACTGTTAGGATCTAGTGATCCAGTATTATGGTGTTTCAGCAGGGTTTTGAAGAAATCTATGAGGATCTTATGGGCTTAATTGGCCGGGGGGGGGGAAGGCCTTGGTAAGTGGAAACAGATGTCGGAGCGTATTGTGATATAGTCAGATGTAAAGGGGCTAAAAGCCTAAGTTCAAAGGGTTACTATAGGGTCTAGGGTTTATGTAGGGTTTAGGGTTTACGGTCCAGGGTTAAAAGGGTTTAGGGCTTGGGTTTAGGATCGTCTGGGTGTTTCAGCTTGTAGGTTCTTTAGGATATGTGTAGGACTCTGCCTTAAGGGTCCCTTTCCAACTCCTGCAAAATAGTACGGCACGCTGGTAAGCAAGGGACCCTAAAAGGGACCCGAATTTAGAGAACCACCTCCTAGAGCGCTCTCAGGATTTCGGGACGCTTCGAGGCTTAGAGTTTAGAGACTTCAGAATTGCCGGCTGGAGGGCTTTCGCAGCTTGCGGCTTAGGGCTGCTCGGAGTTAAGGACCGTTTAAAGCTTGGGCTTAGAGGCTAAGTTAGGTGGTTTCGTGGTATAGGATTTAGGACTCATTGCATCTCAAGGCTTCTTCACTTTGGGGCTCGCCGGGGGCTTGCTCGGCTGTTTGAGATTTCAGGAGTTGCAGCGTAAGGCGGAAGGTGAAGCTTATCAGCCCATTATTTTAGCATCATTCGTACGAAAATCTAGCGAGAAAGCACTCTGAGATATCCTCATGGCTGAGCATGCGGCTGCTGCTTCGTGCGGATTTCGTTGTAAAACCTCAGCAGCCAGCTGTAGGCTTCCGGCGATTGAGATGCGGGTTTAGGTTAGGGTCTAGGGTTTCGGGCAACCCGTGTAGATCCCTGAAAATCGCTTCAGAAAGATATTCTAGTCACTAAGGCTCAATGTTGAAGAAACATGGAAGCTTAAGGGTTCAGGAGGTCGCGATTGGACGATCACTTCGATGCGGTTCCAAATTGTCTCGTGAGAACAGACGGCAAAGCAGACACTTGGCGTGGCAGCGGTTCCGGGTTTTGCGTTTAGTAGGGCCTCCATCCGGCAATCATGCTGCCCTACGATTGAGTGTAGAACCTGCAAAGGCCCGCTACCATGTAGAGGCTTCTACAGGGTCTACATCCTGCACCAGGCATCAATTCCCTGTAGATGTTCATAGTTGGGCTTCTGTGTAGGGCTTGTATGCAACGTAGCAAGACTATTGGCATAAGTAACCCTTGAGTAATCTCTTCAGAGCCTCTCAGAAACCTTAAAGACCTCACGAACACAGAAGACGCCTATGAAAACCTAAACCTTGAACAACCCTCCCCCCCATTTTGGGATCTTGGGATCCCTTGCGCCCTGCCAAGGCAGTCTTGGCCCCGTACGGGTCCGCTAAGATCTGTTGCAGCAACTCCGTCATGACCACGACTTTGGCTTCTGGACCTGTTACATTGAAACTAACTAATGCAAAGTCATAGACATCGCGCTACTCATGTCCCCTGATCCTCAAGAAAGAATCCTCAGTGTGACCCGAACCCGACCACTCACGAATCCATCGGAAGACACCCGGCCGTCGCTCACAACATGCTGAAACATGTACTAGGGCTTGCCACTTTACATGTCCTTGCGGCTATGGGCCCAGCTCATGCGTTTGCTGTTTTCATTCCACCCTTTTCGCCCTAAGCTTCCGACAGGTACAAGCTATGCTCTGTGTAACGCCACGGCGCACTTAAACATCGAACCAGCTTCTCCAGCGCACCAAGCTTTCAACCTGACTCCTACAACCTCTGTGATTATCAGAGTCTTGAGCTGCAAAACCCGGTTGAGCAAAAAAATGAGTCATCTTTGACAGGCATCTCCCAAGGCGAACCATGCCAAAACTCGAAAACTTCGTCGAAATCCTAGCTGCCAAATCCCAAACCGAAACACCGGAAGCCCCTTCAATCCTCAATTGACGCCTTGAAGGCTCACCTCCGAAGGTGACCAACACATCATTCGCACCCTTTACGGTGAAGTGCGTTGCTAACGGACAAAACTTGTGTTTAGGTACTGGCACAATGGATGCTGAGACACCCTTGATCACCTAAGAAACACTGTCCTGATCAAAAACCGAAAAGTTCGATGTTAAGCGTTACCTACTCAAGCACTCAGAAACTGACACCCTACGACCGCAAGCCACTATGAAACACTGTAAACAGAATGGTACAGGTCAATCATCCTAGAATCCCTTCAAACCCCTGTGAAGCCGGATGAAACGCCCTAACACCCAGACGCCTGTGGAGAAGGTGACCCAAATCGCCCGGTTCGTCTCGGACGGGTTCGGGTTCGAGCGTGCCAGAAGTGCCTCGGATGTTTTCGACCCTTTGTAAGAATTTCGGAAGGCATCCACACGTTTAGAAGGTATCCAGACTTTGGAAGGTATCAACATGGGTCAACACTTTTAGAAGGTATCTATAGAAGGTATCAATACTCTAGAAAGCATCAAAATTCTGAATGAGTGTGGTATAAGGATATTCTCATTTATCACCTTTGTATTTACACAGCTCTATATGTAAGGTATTCCATTGATTTGACGAGGGTGTTCGGGGGACTTGCTGCGGAAGTCTACCATCACATGGATGTCACTATGAGAGTGCAGAGTGGTTGTTTAGGGCTCTGGCACTTTGTGCTCTTTATTGCAGGTTAGGGTTTGCGGGTTCTTAATTTAGGGTTTATGGTTGAAGACGAGGTAAGTTCAGGCTCGAGGGATCTTAGTTTATAGGTTGAAGGTCTTTTCGCTTAAGGCTCCTTTGTCTTTCCTAAGCTATCCATCCAGGAATGATTTCCAGAGGCTGTGGCACAGGTTCCCGAGCGGGTTGTGTCTGGGGACGTGGTGCTTGCTTTTTGGCAAAGACGCCTATCTTGCAATTGGATGTTGCGGCTGCTGTGTGTCTCTTTGCATCTTGGAAAGCTATGAGGGCTCGTTAAAGGTTCTCACGGCTTTTCAATGCTTTTCGGATGTCTTCTAGTAGAACTTCCCGCTTGATACACCTGTGCATGTTGACTGGTTACGATTTGTTCCTGAACTTGCCGCTCTGTACCTGCAGATGTGGAAGCCAGAGCCCCCTTTGCCCATGCAGGTGACGTGTTGGAACTCGCAAACGCTGAAAACACGCCTAAGCTCCAAAGCTTGAACTTCGTGGGTCAAGGGTGAACCCGAACATCTTGGAAGCCCGAAGCCCTACACCCCCAAGAGCTGCTTCCGAAATCCTGAAACTCCTTTGTCCGACGAACCCCAAGGCCCAAGCCCTGCAGGTCCACAACTCTGGAGTAATTACATTAGGGGGGCCTCAACACCTCTTCATAGGGTATCGGTGAAAAAATACTTGTACAAGTTTCTGCACGGAACTACTCTCATAACCATATACACATCATTTGTACACACAAAGGTATCTGTGTGTAAGTATGTATACATATATATATATACACATGTATATATGTATCATACACACATGTACAGAGAAAACCAGAAGGGGAGACCAGGAAGCTGAAAACGACGAACCACACTCCCAAAAAATTGAACCCCCAGTGGTGTCGGCCAAAGTACTCGGCCCAAGGCACCCTTTCTCATGGTTGGGATAGGATGTTTTTCTCGGCGAATTGCAGAGTCGATTGGGATAGGAGTAAAATTGCAAAATTTGTATTCCTTATCGGGTTTAAGTACCCGTAACAATTGCGAGATGTTACCCAACTATGACAAAGGCACTCCCTTCCGTGGCGGTTTCACCACGGCCACTCTGGTCCGCCTCGCCCGCGGGAGGGGCCTGGAGCTGGAAAGGACACTGGTTTTCGGATCTAGCTTCGTTGAACCGGAGTTTCGGGTTTAGATTCTTTTAGCCCGGGATTCGGGTGTAGTGTCTTTTTATCTGGGTCGCGGGTTTAATTTCTGTCGAGGCCTCCGTTTTAGTATTTAATTTCTCTGATTCTCACAAATCTGGGTTTCAGGCTTAGTAGGGTTTTCGGTTCAGGATTTGAGGATTCGGGTCTAGGTTTGGGATTCGGGGTTAAGGTTTCGGGCTGGGAGTTCAAGGTTTAGTCTTTTAGGGGTTCTGCGTTCGGGTTAGGGCTTGCAGGCTTATGGGTCGTTGTGGGTTATTGAGAAGTACACTCGATCTACATGTCAATGTCTTCTTCCGGCATGATACTTGCTACAAGCTAGTATCAAGATTTGATGGTGATTTATGGTGATGAACATGCTTAGTCTTATGTTGCTCATGATGATGATAAGGATGTTGATCGGGACAATCATCAATTTCGTGAAGATGGAGTCTGTCGTCGCAGATTACTGCCGAGGAAGATTTGTCTAGTCGTGATAGTGCTGTTTGCACGGAGGAGTTTTACATCTTCGTCTTTAAGGATCTTCCAAGCCATGTAAGTAGGGTTGTCTGTGCGGCAACTGCAGCTGCAACTGTCTAAGGTCTAAAACGAACGAACTGTTGTTTAGGTTTGGGCTTTATCCTTTCCGCCCTCGCCCACCCCCCACCCCCCCTCCGCCCAAGCCCGCAGCTTTATTGCACCATAATCCTCAACGCTGATCCTATCCCGCAACCCTCTCGACCATGCTCCCTGACCTCTTTAGTCGCTTAGCCTTAAGCCCTCCAAGCTTTAGGGTACTGGACGAGAAGCCTGAAATAAGTTCTCCATTATTCTTCGGGTTCCTTGTTGCATCTATTTTCTATCATACTCCGAACCCTATCCCAATTACTATTGTCTACCATTCTTCTTTGGGTTCCTCATTGCCTAGTCTCTAAGATACCAAACCCTATCCCAAGGGTTTCGTATCTTATTGACATACTGTACGATACTCCAAACCCTATCCAACTTTTCCATTAGACGAGAAGCTCGAAGGGCATGGCGTTTAGCACCCGCTGAATCTCTGCCGCATCAGCGGGGCCTACGTTGCCCTGCAGGAGAGCCTCGCGTTCGGCTGTTAGGTTTGGGAGCTCAAAATCTTTGGAGGGCTTGAGGGCTCAGAGCTTAAGGTGTGGGTTTAAGTTTCGGTTTAGATTTGGGGGGGTATAAGAGCTCTCAAGCTTCAGCGCCTGGGGATTAGGGCGTAGATAGTGTAGATTCTTAGAGACTATGGGGGCTGAGGGGTGCAGGAGTTGATGAGCTTCAGGATTTGGGTCTTCAGGGTGGAATGTTTTTCTTAGAGTTCACGGGCGAGGTTTACCGTTTCGGAGCTTGGAGCTGAGGGCCGTGGTCTGGATTTTCAGGGTGTAGTGTCCTGAACCTCTGAGAGTACAGATGCTAGTGATCATCCTCATCTTCATCACGCTTACCATTGTCACTGCCACTCTTCAGTCTTATGCCAGCCTTTAGCCCATGGCCGTTGCCGGCAGGGCAAAAAAGCAAGCGACTGAATTTCAGAAGGGCCCAGTTTGGCTTTGGGTCCCTAAATCCTAAACCCTACACCGGCAAATCGTCTTTCAAGGAGGGTTCGGGCACGTAGTTCAAGGAGAAAACCAAGAGCACTGGGAACCCAACGCCGAGCAATCTAAGGCTTTAGGATTTAGAGAGTTCAGCGGTTTAGAACTTTGAGCTCACAGTTTCGGTTTAGCAATTTCGCCAATGGTTCGCCTATTGGCAACAACCGTGGACCCGAAATCCTGGATGAAAGCTTCCCCAAGCGGCTAAGCCACAAAGTCCGAAAGCACCCCTATCTCCACAATCTCAACAACCCCAAAGCCCACAGAAACCCTAAAACCGCAAAGACCCAGCCTAAAGCCTAAACCGCATGAACCAAAATGAAGGCCGGAAGCAGCAAATTACCCTGGCCTGACCGTACAGCGGCGACCGGCGCCGAAGCCTCCCGCCGAAGTTGCGGGCTGCAGCAGCTGACGCCTGCTCGGTTCTTGGGTTTAGGCTTGTTTCTCTGTTACTTGGTGAAAATTAGTGGCTGGTGTTGAGGGTCCTGATACGCAGACGAGAGTTTGGATTGTTTACCCGGTGGTCGTCGTAAGGCTTGGTTTGGGGCTTCGGTTCTGCGAAGACTTGTCCCGTGGATGTTGGATTACTCGGCGGAAGAAGCTCGGTCTCGAGCCTCCGAACAGTAAACCTAGGTTTTTCACAACCCTTCTAAGGGGTGATAGCTCGAAACTGTCGTGACGGTATTTAGCCCTAAACTCTGAATCTTAAAGAACCGGGTTTTGAGTTCCGGAGGGTTGCAGTTTGCAGGGTTTAGCGTTGAGGGTTTGGTCGTAGTCCCAAACCCTGCAAAAGAGTAGGCTCTGATTCCTGAATGAGCTATGCCACCTTAAACCCTGAATCCTGGTTTAGGGAAAGATTTTCTAGGGCTCGTCTTGGAGTCTTTATCTGCATTTCCACATGATGTCCTAAGGCATCGAATGTAGAAACAGTGGGAGGACACAAGGTTCAGGGTCTCGGGTTTAGGGTCTAGCGTTTACGGGTTTAGGACTAAGGATTTAGGGTCTAGCTCAGCGCTCAGCATGTCGGGCTTAGTGTTCCCAGACATCGGCTTTCAAGAAAAAGTCGCGCTGTACGTCCGTGCACCACGTCTCCAGTCCTCATGCTGATGAAACGACAAGACCGAAGCCCCCGCAGCAATAATCCTTCCGACATCAGAAGGAAAGCCCTGAAGCAAGGACTATGCTGACTAACCTGGAACACTGTTGGGACCCTTATTGCAATCATAAGTTAGACTGAATTACCAGCTGTAGGTTTCAGCGGTTCAATCTGGGCAGACAGCCTTGGCAGTCTGCCTCCGGAGAAACTCGATGGAATAGTCCGGGTTATGCGTCCTCAGTATCATCCCAGTGACCCCACAATCGTGGAGTCTTCAAATCAGTTCAAGCATTTCCCGAGCTGAACATGTTCGGATTGAGTCTCGTGTGAGCGGTAGTGAGGAAGAGTATGGTACCGCAGGCTTATGGGGTCACGTGGGGTTTTGCAGAGATGCTCGTGGATCTCACATGTAACAGTCTTCTGGATGAGCCCTTTACTGTCGGACCCCCTCTAACTGCAACCGTAAGCCTGCAGCAAGCCAACATGCTACAGTTGAACTCTGGCGAGTAGGGAGTATAGCAGCTCAAACCACCAAACCCTCATCTGAAACGTTGATGTGCGAAGGCAAAAGCCTCCAATCCAAACATGCCATCATCTCCACACGCACGAAGAAAGCCTAAACTCTAAACCCTTTAAGTAACTAAAGCAGGGGCTGGAATCTGCATCCCAAAGGCGCGATGCGGGCAGAGTAGGCGGCGTACCTTAGCATTTTCGGATCTTTCCAAGCAGTAGAACTGTGCTACTGTAATGTTTTGGTCCTTTTGGTGCTTCAGAAGTCTAAATCCTAGAGACATTAGTTGTCAAGGACAGACAGAACAGGCTTGAATTGGCTGGTGAAAAGGGTCTCACTATTCGACCATCCACCAGACGGTCTCACCTAGAAACTCTTTCGAACCCTGAACCCCTGACTCTTGCAGCTCAACACCAAAACCCCACACGGTAAAACCCAGGCTCTGAAGCTGTCAAACCCTGAACCCGCAGACTTGAAACCTAGGACCTGTAAAGCCTCAACCCGGGAAGGTCAGCCACGCCGCTGGTACGACGGCTGAGCATCGAAGGACTTCCTGGGATATCTCATCGGGTCTTGACTGGGTGATGGGGTACGGGGACTTCGGCGGAACATCAACACGAACCCCAAGACGTAAAGCCTCAAACGAAGGCTAATTATTGACGGGGGGTTAGGGCATGAGCTGCGGTGAGCAATACCCCTGAATTTTCTGAAGCCACCATGAAGACTTGAACTGATAGCAGCTTTGCTTTATCGCACAACATGTCTAGAACACCATGTAACCCCAAAGCCAGTCATGGCCCGTTGCACCACAGACCCCGAACCGTAAACCATAAACCCCGAAATTTAGGCACCCCTTACCTAAGCGCCGCAAGCGAAAAAATCCGTAGCCAACCTGAAGTTCAAATCACACGATCCGTAAACCCTAAATACTAACCTACACACCCAAAACCTAAACTTTAGCTACGAGCCTGAAGGGCCCCTTAGATAAGCAAGACGTCTGCTCGCGCCGCACGCGATCCAAGACCTCCGAAAAGTCCTGCTGCCAGGCAGGCGGAAATCTTCCGCGATTTTTGGGTCAGGGTTTAGGGTTTAAGGTTTCGGGTTCCGGCATGGTAGCATTCTGTCTGGGTTTAGAGTGCAAGGAAGGTCGAGGAATGACGGTATGGAAGTATGAGGTTCAGGCTCCAGTGACTCAGGTCCATAGAGTTGGTTCGGGTCTGGGTTTAAGGCTGTAGGCCTGGGGCATAATTTAGGATTTAGGGCAGAAAGGTATGGAACTTTGGGTTTAGGGCTTGATTCAGAGTGGACGTACTGGCACGGAGGGTTACGCGTCTCACCTCCGAGCCTACATGATTCCTTACGTCGGGGCCCGGTGCTGTTGATAGGGTTTCGGGTTCACAGGCATGTTTAGAGTAGTCTGAGAAGGGATCTGAAGCATGAGATCTATCTCATAGAAGCGCTGCTTGTACGGAATCCCCAATCTTAGACTCAGTTCCGTTGCACTTTTTCCTTGAGAGGCTGATCCTTGTGTGCCCGGTTCTGTACGTGCAAATATACATATATATATATATATATATATATGTTTATATTCGTATAATTATATGTATGTCTTATACATAATATATATTTATATCTATGTATATACACACAATATGCGCATGTACGTGTGTACATATACATACAGCGAGTCATGAAACGCACTTGGAACGCTTCGGGTGAACCAGCACTGATGTCTTTGACCGCTAGGAAGTTTCGCTGCATGCGTGCCAGGCGGCGTGGACGACTACTAATGGAATGCAAGCCCACAGCCTCAACACAAAAGACATTCGGGGCGTAAGTTTTCGGGCTAGGGTTTGCACAATCGCAGATCCAGATGAACTAACAGCCGATGGCCTCAAACCCTTAGTCTGAACAAGATGCCCCGGCGGTGGTCCTGGTCAGAAGGACCTGCACCAAGGTTTATGTCGACATCTTTTGGGTTTTTGACTTAAGGACTTAAGGTACAAGAGTTCGCGGTTTCAGGGTTTGCGGTTCTTGGGTTTCTTGGGGTTTAAGTTCAAGGGTTTGAGTGATTAGGGCTTAACAGGGTTTAGGGCCTAGGGGTTCAGGTTGCGGGTTCAGGCGTCAGCCGCAGCTGCTTTTGCCCAGTCGGTCCGTTTGTGCCGCTTGGTTGGGTCAACACGACTACACTGGCCGATCGGGATGTTCAAGCCGACTATCAAGTATCTCCCTCAGACTCCAAGCAATCTCTGAGCACTTTAACCAAAGACCCCGCTTTCTCCAAACCCCAGGCTCTCTGTGGCAGGGTTGCTCTTGAGGGGTAAAGTAGGACTATGCTGTGGACCTTCAGAGTTATGCGGTTTACAATTCAGGGTTTAGGGTTTCGTCTGGGGATTTCGGGTGTAAGGCTTCTGGGCAGGTATTTGGGACAGGAGTGAGCATTGATCAAGAGCAAGCAAGCGCACGCAACCTCACCCGCAAACCCCGATTTGGCCTTGGAATTCCTGCAGTGTGGAGAGAACCTTCTCCACGAGCAGGACGAGCTTGTCACCTTGAGGGTGCGCGGAGGGCTTTGGAATTAGGCTCGTGCAAGGAACCACTTCCAACACAACCCGCAACCGCCACCTCCGCGGCAACAGCACCGATTATAGCTTCATGGCGTGTGTGTGTTGGGGATGACCCCGTCTGCTTTAATAGAAGGCCGCAATGTGGAAGTTCTACGAAGCCCTGCCAAAGACCTGTATCATAAACCTTACCACAGGAACGACGGCTTTTCTCTCACGCTTCTCTCAGTGCGTGTGTTTGTGTGGTATCGCTGATTGTGGAGACAGTGTTGCCCTAATCAGCAACACTTTTTGAAGCAGTATGCTCTACTTACTCTGCTTCTACAGAAAAAAGGCCTTCAACCTTAAACCCATGACAGAGTTCCAAGGCCTATACTCACCTTAACGACAGATGTGATTGATAGCTCTCGACGGGGGCAACCAAGCTGCCATCCAATGAAGAGGGTCAGTGATGAGGTATGCGGGTAAGGAGTCCGCCCTTTCTTACAGGATTATGGGAGGGGGAACGCCCGGACTTAGAATAAGGTGATGACAACATTAAGGCCATTAATGGCTGTCAACTTGAAGATCTTGGTATTTAAGGTGTCGGCATTCCACCGACCAAGTACCATATCAAACGATATGGATGTCATGAAACCCGCAAACTCAAACCCGCCAGGCTCTAATCCAACATATCCAAAGCCATTGAGTCCTGGAATGCTAGCCCCCCCTCTCCCAGAAAAAGCTCAGCTGCCGGCTGAAGCCGGCAAACTGGATGGACAAGCCATCAATCCTGGGTCTAGGGTTCAGGGCCAAGGGGCCTTGACCTGGGCCTGGAGGCCGGGATTTGAATACTAAGTGGTATGGCTGGTATGGTGACGCCTGAACTCGGCGAGTAACCAGGGTGTCCTTGTCCCGGGCATTCAATTTCAACGGCTTGGGGGGCGTTCGGGACATTCAGTCCAGCGCCTACATAGACCCTATGAACCACACACTGTATCCTCTAACCCTCGGGTAGGGAAAATCATCCTTGTCAGGAGTGGGCTTTGAATGCTTGGGATCTACGGCCCCGAAGCTCTGGAGCCTGCCCGGTCTACGGACATCGTGTAGGCTTAGAACCTATGTGGTTTATTAGGGTTTAGGAGTTTCGGCTTCAAGGCCTTAGGTTTAGAGAAAAAGCTTAGGGTTTACGGGCTTCTCGGCTGCATTCTCGGTTTTGGGTCGCAGTTTCGAGGCATTCGTTGAACCCTGAACTGAACTCGGAGCCCTAAAGCCTAAAGGAGCAAAGCTGGCAACCTCCTCTTTGCTAAGAGCAAACATGAAGCACGTGGGACCTCGCTGGAGCCACAAACACCGAGCAAGCGCAAAGAAAACCTAGGGTCCCAAACGACCACGCGAAGCTTACACGAGCTGCGACTCCAAATTAAGGGATCCTTGTGCTTATTAGGTCTCCAAAAACTACCTCCCTAACCTTGATAACATGCTATATACCTACATGTGATACATACAGTATGTAAAGATCCTTGGCAAAGGGGTTTCGCAAAGCCCACCATGACCCCTAAGCCGTAAGCAAGAGCTCGGGCCGCAACTCATTGGATACCTGGAACTGGAAGCCCGCATAGCTGGCGTCGTAGAACATCTCAGAGAGGTAGTCTGTCAAGGCTAACCTAAGGCTGTAGGGTTTCGGTGTTCAGGAGTTTAGGGTTTGGGGCTTCGAGGTTTGTGAGCGTTTACGGCTATATTACAGGGGCTACTATACGGGCGGATTGCCATAAGGCTTGTCTGGCTACGATTTAGGCTTTGGGGTCTATGGAATGTTGCAATGTGTTGTTGTTTCCTTTCGGGTTTCATCTCTGAGGGCTGTTGACGGGTTAAGAGTTGCGGGGTTTATCAGCACAAGCTTTTTTTGGGACATCTTTCGAGTGGTTTAGCAACCTGTGAAAACAGGGGCTACTAGGGCTTTGGAATAGAAGTTTGTGATTCCGGGAGTTGGCCGCAAGGTTGGTGTGCTGTGTCAAGTTCATGTGGCAGCATCATGATGCGATAGGGGCCTGTACTCAAGGTTTCAGGCCGGTTCACACTACGAGACAACTGCTTCGGGGATGGGGTCGAGAGTCTACGGGTTTAGGGTTCCCGAGAAAGCCGACGCAGTGCGCCAATCTTCAAATGCTAGTGAATATATGGAAGGAGCTGTTCCACGGAAAGGGCCCAGTCCAAAATATCCCATCAAATTGACCCCCCGCCCCTCCTCAAACCAAAAAAACTGGGAGCTCTAATGGGGTCCTTGAACTGCCGTCCCGCCCTGTTTTGTGCAAGTCCACTTTGAGGTTGGATGGCTATGGAAACCGCAAACCAAAAACATTGACCCTAAACCGAAAGTCCAAAATCCTGAACCCCAAATTAAAACTGAAAGAAAGCGGAAACTTTGGCATCTCTGAACCTTATGTCCTTAAGATGCAAAGGGGGGCCCTAAGGAACGGTATTGCTGATTCTTCAGGGTCCTAACAAAACCCTGTATCCTTCTCCTGTAAAAAGCCCCATCGGGTCATACCTTACCCCATTTCAATTCACGCGGGTTTTATGGCTAGGACCCGTCATGTAGAACAGTACCCTAAGAAGGAGTATGGCATGACCCTATAGGTGCTTCTTGAGCAATGGGCTGCCTGGGACGACTCCCGGAAACTCTCTCGAGTGGTTACGGCTTGCGTATGTGGCTCTGAGATTTCAGGCTACACACTAGAGCCCTAAGCCCTGAAGTGTAGGGTTGTAGAGTTTAGAGATGCGGGCTTCTGGGAGGTAAAGGAGTGCCAAGAACGTTGACTTGCATAGTCTCCTTTGCTCAAAACCCTGCTAGACCTCGTGTAGATGTCTATGTCCAGACTGATTTTTTCAGGGGGGGCTGGGGTTCCGGATTTGCCACAGCTCTTGAACATTTATAGCCCTGGGTCTCAAGATGTCTCAAGTAAGGAACCTTGGCCCATGTCCTCTTTCGAAAAGACCTACCTTTGTGGGGGCTCCTTATTATGGTTTCTATATGTAGTTCCTGAACGAATTAAAGCTAGCTCTTGGGCCACGAACAGGGTTTAGGGCACTCAACAGCTGATCCCTAAATCCGAAACAAGTCTCAGTCGGCAGTAGAATGTGTAAGGTCCTGGCAACCATAGTCGAGAAGGTACAGCGTCTTCATCCACGGTGTCATCTGGGAACCATCCATAAAGCCCAGTACACTTTACATGTCGGCACCAACTTAAAGTCACATCAAGGATGCCCGGATAACTTTGGTTGAAGTGTGGGCTATGAGGTTTAGATTAGTTATCAATCTTCATTCAAGCCCTTCTCCGCCACTCATTGAAACTTAGCTCAAGGGTGTGGAATGTCGCGACCATCGGGCGACAGTTACAGCATCTTTCAGAATGCACAGGGTTGGCGTTTTCGGTTTAGGAGTTTAGGGTTGGGTAGAAGATGTAAGACAAAGATTTCGCACTTCGCAGCTTTCAGGTCTCAGGCCAACTGAGCCTTGAAAGAGAGGATGAAAATGCAGGCTGTGAGGTTTTGGAATTTGGGAACTTCGGAGCAGGGCGGGATACGTGGGATCCTTTCTATCAGGATCCTCCTCCAACCATGGACCGGCCATCTTCAGAAACCCAAGAAATAGAGCTTGGCAGCGGTGGGCTTAGCAGCACGAAGGGTGAGACTTGAAAGAGTTGAAACCCGGCCTGACATACCAAGGAAGATGAGGACAACCTCAAAAGCAGGAAGAACATTCTGGGGGTTTCTACATGTTAAGTGCTGCGGTACTGCCCTGTTCGAAGGGTGGCTGGACTCGAGTCTGCTGCGGTTGCTTGTCGAATTTCGACTGGGCAGATTGAGCAACTGTGACACTCAGAATTGGAGAGTGCGTTCTCGCTGGGGCACCCTACGTAATCCAAGAACAACGACTACGAACATCAACCCTATCAGGGCCTTGTAGTGATATTGTAGAATTCTGTCCTATTAGCTATGCATCATGTCAAGGCAACTTTAGATAAGGCCCTGACCAAGAACCCAGTAATCAGGGTCTCGGGAATGAGGCCTAGTTAAGCGATTCCGATCACAGTGCTAGTTACCGGCTGCTGCAGCTCCATAGTAGTACGGACACAATGGAATCAAGGATACTTGAGCTGCAGCTGAAGAACCGGCAAACTGGGCTTTGCGAAGTATCCAGGGAGAAAAAGTAAAAGTTTGTAATCACAACGCCTTCATTGAGGAACAGTTCCGAAACAAGAGTATAAAAGTATAGTAAGCATCATTGGAAGCACTTAAGCAAGTCAGCGGCGAACCTTGCAAGCACAGGGCTGTGTCATATTCGGGTACTATGGAGAAATACAGCATCGCTTTTTGCCTCTACTGTCGTTAGCTCCACCCTCCGAATTCTTACTGCTCGAAGACCCCTTTCTAGGGTTCAGGGTTTAAGATGAAGTCCTTATATAGTTGCTGCGTTAGGAAGCCCCAGGGGGGATTCAATTTTTGAAAATGGGACTCAAGGAAGCCGATGCTAGGGGCAGCGGCAGATGAGTTGTACTCTGCTACTCAGAACTCGCTCCTTGCCTTGCTAGAAGGAGCAGAAACCCCTGATTCTGAAACTCAATTGTTAAGGAGCCCCTATATCAGTGCTATAGTAGAGAATTTTTGATCCTTAGACCTTCTTTTGCGATTTGGGTCGTTTGAGCTTCGGATTCTGCCGTATTTGCATGCAAGCGTCGGCTTTAGGCACCCCGAAACACCGGTCGCCCTTGTAGAACATCTGCCACCTGGGAGGTGCATTTCGTTTTGACAACCCCGGGGTTCATGGTGCAAGGCCTGTAGCTGGGGCTCGAGGTTTTAGGGCTCAGGTGGTTTCTAGAGCTTCAGGGTTTGGGGTTAGGGCCTGAGGGCTTCAGCGGGTCTGGACCCGAGGTCGCAAATCTCCGCGACACGCTGCTCTTTTCAGCTTCCGACAGAGGATTGGGTGTCTATAGCGTTGGCTTGAGGGTTTGGTGTTCTTCGCGCTGAAGCTAAGAACAAATTCGAGACGTGGGGCCCGGGAAGAACCCGGAAGCCCAAACCACAACTCACAAACACCCAGAACCCTAACTACAAACTAGCAGCCTGGTAGCTCCGACTCCACGCGGTTGGGGACATATGCCATGAAAGTAGTAGCAGTCACAGAAGTAATTATTAACCTTAGCCATGATCTTTCGTCATCGTGTTTACCAGTACTGCCACCATGACGAACAGAAGATTTCCTGCAGAGTTTGACGTTGTTCCATGAACAAGTAAACACACAAGCAACCCTCGCTGTAGTAGCAGTGGTCGGTGCAGCAACAAGAATAACACTGATATGCCAACCATCTCAACTGTTGCCGCAGGGTGCGTGTCACTGAATCTAGTAAGTTTCACGAGGTCGGCACGGACAACAAGAATCATGCCAAGAAGCGTGAGAGTAATAGAAGTAATCCAAGGACTCTGTGCAGACTCAGGCTGCGCAGACTCGCCACCATCAGAACATAGCGTGGTGACGAGTGGTGGTGGCCGCCGTGGTAGTGGCAGTGGTGGGTGGCAGGCGGTGGATGGTAGGTGGTAGCTGGTAGTTGTACTGGCGGTAGCAATAGTAGCAGAAGAAGAAGTAGAGGAAGAAGAACCAATAGCAGGAGCTCGAGGCCAAGCCACCTCTCGTCGTCCTCTACGGCGGGAGTTTTCGTGGCGTCATGTGATCAAAATCAATGAGCTTTCAGCTGTGCTGTCATTGAAATATATTAAGTCTTCCTTTTCAGGGTTTCTTGAAAGGCTCAGGTCACCTTTTTGAGGGGTCTTGGGGCTGAGGGTCCGGGAGTTCTGGGTTTTTGAACTTACATTTAGAGCGCAAGGGCCTTGAGCTCTTGCCCCGCAAAGCCTTCTTGAGTGTTGTAGGCATCGTGATGGAAGTGCAAAGATTCCGATAACATCCCTCTTGTTGGTACCCTCTGATTCAAGGAACATATACTTTCAATCGGACTGAGGGAAGGTTGAGACGGTCTGAATGGCATTTCAAGTAGAATTCTCAAAACACCGGAAGGCTCGGGGATACTTATAACTGCGCCTGCATTGCTTCACATGCCGCGGATATCAGCAGTTCTGCTACAACTAGGCCTGACTTACAACCCCTTATGGCTCAAGCTCCCGACTACCTAGAATGAGAAGATGGAGGAGTTGAAAACAAGAACAGGCCGTGCAGGTATAGTATGCACTAACTGCAAGCGAACTATCAGGCACTAATACTACTAATTCCGACCTACTACATAGTGCGGCCCGAAGTTCAAGGTCACAGCCTTGAAGCCTGAAGTTAGGGATAGCTTCGGATGTTACGGTTCCGTCAAGGTTGCAATAACAACCCCTCTCAACCAAAAACCGCAACGACACTAACGTCTTGAAGCACCCCCTGCAACTTCCACCTCAATCTTCAAAGCTGCAGAATTCATAAAAAACAAAAAAACAAACCTCCAAATGCAAAACCCGAAATCCACAAGGGCCTCAGAAGCCCAACCCTGAAACTCCAAGCCTCACACCCCTACCTACTCCCTCGAATGTGGTACGCTTGTTGGACAACCTCTTCCGTGACTGGGATCCTACAAGACAGAAAGCAGCGCAAGCAGCAAAAACCAAGGTACCCCTAAACTTTCTGAACCCGAAACCCGAAAAGCTGTCGAATCCTAAACGCTATGTCCTAAACCCTGGCCGTAAACCCCCAAAGCTGTTCCCAAAACCCAAACGCCTGAACCCCAAAAACTGGTCCTGGAGGACGCGGGGGGGTTCGGCGGCAGCTTCGGCTCGATCTGCGAGGGGCACCTGATGTGTCAAATCTAGGAGCCTTGGTCCTAAACCCTAAACCCCTAAATCTTAAACCCCTAAGCCCTAAGCCCTAAACCCCTAAATCCTAAACCCCAAAGCCCTAAACCCCTAAATCCTAAACCCCTAAACCCTAAGCCCTAAACCCCTTGGTATTTAGAGTCTCGGCTCCTCAAAAGTCTATTTCTTATTGGGCTTACATGTCTTCGAGTCACTAGGTCCATTCTGGTTACAAAGCTGAAGGAAAAACCGCTTGTGGGAGAAAAACCTTGCACCCAGAAACAGAAACTGTACTACAACCAGGGTGTGGCAGGGAAGAACGCGGCTAGCTCCCCGTCTCAAACGCCCGAGCTACCAAGTCCGCTCCTTAAAAGGATCAACGTCTGTAAGCCCCGTTCGACGCCATGCTTTTTGATCTTGCATGAGTTGACCGGGCACCGCGAAACTGCTGCAAATCACGGTGCAAAAGGAGAGGCCTTGCACGTGGCATGCCTCTGTCTCTTTGACTTTGTTGATCACCACGGCCCTCTTGGCCTGTCAATTCCTGTAGCGTGTCAGACAGTGCCAGAACTCGCGCATCCACACGTGAGCATTCGTCCATGGCAGGTTGAACAGCAGCCTCAAACTTCAAACCATCTGGCCTTTCCGTCATTCCTTCCTTGCCTGCTCCTGCTGAGTACCAGCAAGATTAAGCTGTCTGGATACTGGGTCGGGGGTGTGTGCTTCGAGGCCCAAAGCGTGGCGTAGGGTCTCCCAAACCTAGGTTTGAAGAACTGACCTTTATCTTTAACCTCCAACCCTTAAAACCAACACCCCAAACCAAAAACATCCAAAACCCCCAACACCGAAACTCCGAACCCCAGACCGTTTGACCCCAAGTACCCAGCAGGCTACAGACCCCAGACCTGTTATCAAAACCCGACAGAAGCCTCGGAATCGAACCCGAAAATCTGAAGCCAAAACCCCAGAACCTAAACCCCGACCTTTCTTCCCGGAGATGCGCAGATCCCTGTAACTTCCGGTTTGCTAGCTTCGGGGCTTGCGGGACCCGCACACCGAAAAGCCCTTCACTCAGGTTGTAAGAGCTTTTCCATGATTTCTATCGATGGCTATGGGGTGCTCTGGGAGCTTACGTATATATATACACATACACACATACACACATGCACACACACACACACACGCACATGTAGATAATGTGTGGCTAATTCTTCACTATACACTTAGAGATATACGCACACACATCAACAAGTTCACACATGCATGTATGTGTACACACATATATATATATATATATATATATGTATATATAAAAAACACTGTGCTTTGTGTTTCATGGTAACGTAAAAATAATTCCCCTTGTCAAGTCGTGGTAGGTTACATGAGCAAAGACCTCGACTTGTCCCCATAATGTAAGCCCCAAACCCCGCGACAGATCTCAAGGAGCCCCATAACAGCCGTGCCTGCGGATTTCGCGGCGAGAAGTCTCTCCTTTTTACTTTGAATTCTTGGGTTGCTTCAAGGTGTTGGACTGTAGGGTGGAGGCTCTAGGGTTTCGTGTGCACGGCTAACAAGGGCTTCAGGATTTTGAGTTTAGGGTTAACTGGTAGATTCAATAGTTAGATGCTGTAGCGATCAACTATTCTCGGTCCTGCTTGGCACTCCGGGAATCAATGTTTTTCTTTTCCTCACAAAGTCCATGTATGTTTATGGGGTGCGAACCCCTTACTACTAAGCCCTGAAACCTAAACAAATCCTGCACAAGCCCACAGGCAAGCTTCAAAGCCTAGAACTGGATCGGAGTCTTCCGACCCGATGCGTCGAAGCTAAGCAAAAAGATATGAAAGCAAATGCATCAAATGCATGCACTAGAAAGTATCCTTTGGAGACCAAATATAGGGGCCTTAATGACTAATGGCAATTGTTATTTAATCTTCCAGAGTAGACACTGTATGTTGCGAAATCTTGGTAATATCTATAGTCTCCATTGTAGCTCCTTCTTTTGTTAACCAACTTTGTTTTCCAGGGTCTTAACCATAAAATTGGTGAGCCAAAAAAGGAACAACACTGGAGACTATATGCAGTTTTCCTGGATGGTGAAGTCCGTGTGCTATTGGATGGACCGCCTTCGTTGTCTTGCAGAAAAACTGCGACAAGCGAGCTTTGTTGAACTCCCTGTCAAACGTTGGCAAGTTAACACTCGTTGTCTTGACGAAGCCCAACTTGATGAGCAACACTCCGTGTTGCCACCACATCGCCATCCGAACCACCAAAATCGGACAAGTAAGGCCGGTATTTATTAAGGCCCCTCAATAATATCCTTATAGCCATTCTAGATCCCGAACGTTAAGCATAGTATGGGTAATTGATAAGGCCTCTATATTAGTTGACGCTTGTGTTGATTTTAACATCACTCCTCTGGGGGAGTCTTTGGTTCTGCCTTCCTGCTGAATGCTGAAAGGTTAGGTTTTCGGGTTCAGCATTAGGATTTTAGGATTCAAGGGTTTCGGGTTCAGGGTTTAAGGCCTAAGGATTTAGGGGGCTCCGGCTTGAATTATCCGAGTCCTGTAAACCGTACACCCGAAGATAAACTCGAACCCCCACATCGACACAATGCAAAGGTAATGAAATGTAGGTTCAACAAACGAGCTTTTCAACGCCACTCAAAAGTTGATGGAACATATGGAGACCGGTTAAATAGTCGAACTCATTCACGAAGCAGACTGGTTGAATCGACATCCACCGGTAAAGGGCAAGGAATGGAGAATAAAGGTAAGCAGCACGCTAGTCGCTATCTTAATTGCATCCGTGTCCCCTACATTCTACACTTTACACCCGAAACAAAGTATCCGACATCCTTTATCGAAGCACCATACAGATTGGAGCAGTATCGTTGGAACATCGGGGACTCAGCTTGCAGCCGATAACAAGAAGTGCTGCTTTGAAGTAGGCTGTCACGAGGACTTCAATGTAGCAGCCAAACGAGTGTAGTGGCCATATTGAGTAGAACAGGACTTGAAGGTATATGAGAGCTCGCATGCTTCTAAAACGGAACATAAGGAATTGTATAACTAAGTGTTCAGGCCCCTGAATTGCTGATGACTGGAGCTGCGCCCACTTGGGAGGGTCAGGGGGTCAGTAAGTAAGGGCACTTTAATCAGGTTCATATAAATTCAAAAACAGGTATAGATAACCTGCTCACAACCGTATAATTACATGCCATGATCCTCCTTTCAAGTCGATGAGTCCCACGATCTCTTGAGGCTTGAGTAAGTTACTTGAGTTTCCAGGCGCGGCCTTCGCTCCGTGGCTGCATGCAGTCCAAGCATCGGGATGTAGGGGTTCGGAGGTGGCACAGCGTAGCCTGAACTCCGCGCTAGCGTTTCGGCCAAAATCTGAACTCTAAATCCTAGCCCTAAACTCTAAAACGGTTCGTGTTGCAGGTTGGGGAGCGTTTTAGCCTTAAGGACATCCTTGGCTCTTGTGTTTAAGCGACTTGCGACTCAGGTTTATGGGCGGAGGATGCCGTCTTCATTAGATTCCATCGCCGAGCTGGCAAGAACGGGAACCTTTGAGGCCTAATCCTGAACCCATAAAGCCTTGGTCCCAGACCGCACACTTCGTAAGGCTCTAAATTAACACTCTGTCTAGATCCAGTGCATCGGCAAAACAAACGCACATCCAAAACCCACTCAGCTGCAAAGCCGAGAATGACTATGTCCGGGTGTAGGGTTCATCCCCAAGCCGGAAAAACCATACGAAACCCCATATGCAAACCCTGCCTGGCACTGCGCCGGGGTTTTCCCAGCGCTGAAGGGTGCTGTCAGAAACCGGCGCAAAGCCATATCGTGTCCCGTACCTCAGTCAAAGGCTTCATATGCACTACCATCGTGAAACCAACCCAAAGATCCATGCCCGTTATGCCGATTATGTTTTGTCGAGAACCAGTTACACAATATAGACGAGAACTGAATTATGAGCTTCTTTCCGGTACGTGTGGTTGTACTGCAGCTTTAAATCCCCAAGTCCAGAGGCCGGTCCCAACGCAACCCTAAACCGAGTCCATGGTTGGCATATTACTTTTTATTGGGATCAAGTACCCATCAAGAAACCTCAACCGCCTTCAACAAAGGACGACGTCTCGCCACGCTGCCCACCCTGCCGTCTACCCGCCTACCCCACTACCACCACCGGCTCCAAACCAAAAACCCCGCCATCACCAGGCTAACGGGTTCAAGGGTAGGGCTTAGGGGTTTGGGGGCTTTAGGGGTTTAGGGGCTTTGCATGGTAAGCTGCCACTTCTCCGAAGCTGTCGCGCCGGCCTCATGTCGAGTAACTTTCGCTAAGTTTGGAGCGAGCTACTTGCCTTCTTGTGGGTGCATATATGCCCTAAGTCTCTAAGTTTGGGCCCCCAGGTGTTGGTTTCGGTGTTTGTTTTTATGTCGCCTTCGTTGCCAGTTTATCTGGCTCGCCAGTGCACATACAGGTAGTATTCGATTGACAGTCTTGATGCTGCCTTTCCTGTAGCTTGCGCTGCCATGAGACTTACGATTCTGTCTGTCGATCGCCATGTGTACCAGGCTAGTGGTATCTTACAAATGCTCACTAGTAATACGTGTTCCCATCTTCGCCCGATTTGTCGCGGACGCACGGTAACCTCCAGATCAGGTCAATCCTCGAAGCTGGCTCAATGTCCATCCGAGGGCCAGTACATGTCGAATTTGATTTTGGATCCGGGTTGCTCGCGTTTCAGTTTTGATTTTGCTATGTTGTCACTCACAGTGGTGGCAACAACTGCTACAACCAAGGCAATCAAGAAGGCACACATACTGAACTTAAGCTACCTGTTCGCACTGAGAGTTGCGACGCTACAAACTAAGCGAGGTAATTTGGGATTCATGGCCAAGGTACCCAGGTCGTCCGCTTTACCAGAAAAGGAATACTCCTCGTAGGGATCCTCTTATTTCTGAATCAAGGATCTAAACACCAAAAGCCCTAAACCCTAGTCCTGCAACTAAGATGGGTCAGAGAAACTATAGTAAACTTTCTGATGCCTCGCAGCCCCAAGAAGGACTTACTTGTCCAGTATCCCAGGCTCTGGAGGTACTAAAGCTTTCGGATTATGTAAGGACTGGAGTACCGTACACCCTAACCCTGAGCGAGTATGCTACCCCATATCGGTTAAGGTTACTTACTCTACTACTAAGAGGAAGAAAATGAGTCACCTAATGATCCCAATGAAACAACAACTCTCCAACCTAGATTATTTAAGGTCCAGGGTTTAAGGCTTCAGGGGGTAGGTTTTAGGGTTTGGGGACTTAGGGTGTAGAGTCTCGAGTTTAGGGATTTAGGATTTATAGAGTCCTCAATCTCTTGGAAACCTCCGTAAAACCCGACTCTGCGACCCTCGCCCGCAACTTTGAGAGGCAAAGCCCCAAACCCCGAATCTGCAAACCCTGAAACCCTACATCCTGAACTCGATTGAAACTAAACCCTAAACCCTAGGGCCCTAAAACCCTAAACCCTAAAACCCTAAAACCCCAAACCATTGCTTTGTAAACATCGCCTCGAAGTCCTTGCTGTTGGCATACAGAGATGCGCGTTCTGGCCTGGCCAAGAAGAGGGTGACGGTTTGGGATTTAGGGTGTACCGGAAGGGCCTTAGGAGCTAGAATAGTGTTTTGGAGCCAATCATACTATAGTGATAGAATAAGGAAGCCCCCAAAAAATCCCCTATATCTTACCTGTGGTTAGCAGAAAATGGAAGAATGGTAGTAATAGTAGTTATAATTGTACCCCATTCCTCCATTCCCTACTAACCAAGGGTAAAACATTAGTAAATTAGGGCTTTAGGGTTGGGTTCGGAGCTTAAGTGTGAAGCCCGGATCCTACAGTGTGCCATAGCTTGGTCCTGAACTTCGAAAGCATCGAAGATGGAGTCCGAAAAGGGTCGGAATACTTAGTATAGACGTATAGTATACCATAGCTTAGAAAAGGTTTAGTGAAAGAACTTGAGTATCTTTGCCATCGGTAATCCGTGGAACCGTCAAAAGGTGTTTTTGAAAGCTTTAAGAATAAGACCCTGCAACAAAACGGCCACACGGGCCCCACAGGGAGTAATCAAACGGTCGTCGGCAAGAATTCCCCCTTGCATTCCCCATGTACTTAGACTGACATGTATCCAAAAATTCGAATACTTCGCTGCTATGTGAATTTCGTGAGCTAGAAGCCCTTGCCTTGTAATTATGCGTATTCATGCCGCCATATATCCGAAATCGATTGAACTTACAGTAATGACCTAGACGCTCAGAATTATACATACTTATACCGTCCTATAAATCCCGTTGGTGGGTATCTTAGTATCTAAAGTAGGCTACCCTTCAGCCAGCCAGAGTCTAGTCCGCCGCGACTGCCTTCTTCGCTAAGCTGCAGTCTATCGCAGCATCAGCGCGTCAGAGAAGAAATCCTTCGCCCAAGACCCTAGCTGCTTAGCTCCCCAGACCATGTCTAAGCTCAAAATCCAGAAACCCTCAGTAAAGCTCATATCGTCTTAGCACCGGTGTCCGTGCGGACCATGGCTGACAACTTCTCGCATAGAAGGCAAGCAACAAAGAAGCAGTCCCAAAGTGCAAAGTAGGCCGGCAGTTCGACACGAATTAGCAAAAGCACAAGGCACGAAAGAGCAGTGGGAGTCGCCTATACAGATAGCCACAGTCGGCAGTCACGGACCCAAACGATCTGATGCTGCCCGCACAGCAGCTCCAACTGGATGTGCATGCTCGAGATTTTGCCACATGTCCTGCAGTCTCGAAGCGAGCGATTTGCTCGCAACCGCTGCATGCGCTGCTAGGAGTGCTCCGGCGGCCAACTGGCCCTTCAGGGCCGCCGACCACCAGCGCGAATATCTTCCTAAACTCTGAATCTGAAGTAAATCGGTGCTCTGAGCCCTCACTCAGCGCTATTGCGGGGAGTTCTCCGCTGACCTCGGCTCAAGGGGGGCAGAGGCCAAGGACAATCACACAAACAAGGCAGTCCGAGGCACAGGTCTTGTCTCAGGGAAGGGGCGGCAGCCCGAGCTCCTCGGCCAGCTTCCGAGCCTGCAGCGGGGAGCGGGGCGACACACATCGCACTGCGAACTTTTTTGGTTTAAAGCGGCCCCACCTCGGCGACGGAGACCTCGCGCTCTTCTTCGCCATCCATGCAGAGCCAAGCCGTCTTGCCGTCCGCGCTGAGCCTCACACCGCGGCCCTTGTCCTCGCCCTCCTCGTAGAAGCCCACCTCCACCTCGCCGCCCGCATACGTGTACATTCCCTTGCCGTTCTTCTCGCCGTCCTTCCACTCCCCGACGTAGACCTCGCCGTCCGCGTATGTGTGCGTCCCGGTGCCGTTCTCCTCGCCGTCCTTCCACTCCCCGACGTAGACCTCGCCGTCCGCGTATGTGTGCGTCCCGGTGCCGTTCTCCTCGCCGTCCTTCCACTCCCCGACGTAGACGTCGCCGTCCGCATATGTGTGCGTCCCGGTGCCGTTCTGCTCGCTGTCCTTCCACTCCCCGACGTAGACGTCGCCGTCCGCATATGTGTGCGTCCCGGTGCCGTTCTTCTTGCCGTCCTTCCACTCCCCGACGTAGACGTCGCCGTCCGCATATGTGTGCGTCCCGGTGCCGTTCTTCTGGCCGTCCTTGAACTCCCCGACGTAGACGTCGCCGTCCGCATATGTGTGCGTCCCCATGCCGTTCTTCTTGTCGTCCTTGTACTCCCCGACGTAGACGTCGCCGCCCGCAGACGTGTTCGTCCCCGTGCCATGCCTCAGGCCATTCTCGTAGTCTCCCTCGTGCACATTGCCGCTCGGCCACGTGCACCGCGCCCGGCCGTCGATTCGGCCCTTGTCGTTGAGGGGCAGCTCGCGGTCTCCCGCGATCGGTTCGTGCCACTCTGAGACCATCTGCACATCGTCCTTGACGCCTTGCTCCCACTGCTCCGTGGCCTTCTTGACTGCTAGGGCCAGCTTCTCCTCGCACCGGGTGCCGCCTCCTCGAATTTTGGTGGTCGCAAAGGCGAAGAGGCCCATGCGGGGGACTTGCCACTTCTTCCCCATCTTCTCCTCCGAGATCTGCATATACGATTTCTCCCGGATCACACCCTGCTGGATCTGGAGCACGAAGCCCCTTTTGCTCTTCTCGATGCGATCCAAGTTCTCCTGGAAAGTGAGGAGCCAGCGGGAGTCGGCTTCCTCCTTCCACACTTCCTTCCGGGTAGGAGTCAGAGAGAGAGATTGAGAGGTCGGCAACAATGCTGATTGAACCTTTGACCCAGCCATGCTCACTACAGAGATGCCTTGACACCGGAAGGTCCTGGGCAGCAAGGGAGTCTTGACGCTTTCTACAGAACAGCTTTCAACCCGTTGATTGGGGCCCCCGAGCGCGCCTTGTTGTCGGTATTGGGATTGTACACGGTGCAGCCCAGTTCCTCGAGGATCTCTTTGATTCCGATCGAGATTGTCTTCCATGGCTCTTGGAACTTCGTGGAGAGGACGACGTGAGGTGCATCTGGGCTTCTCCTCGGTGGCCACGACTTCGGGCGAATCCACTCGTCTGGGACCTTGTCGTAGCCCGCGCTCTCAGCCATGGGCTGTGCAGGAAATGGTGGAGCCAAGCTGGAGTGACCTGTTGAGCAGCCTGGCCCTCGAAAAGACTGGGCACTGCGCACCCTACCGCCCTTATTGTGGTGCCCCGTCGTCCCTGTTTTTGGGGTTGAGGGTTGAGGGGTCGCCAGCATGAACATCCCTGACAACATCATCATGGGCATATACTTGCAAGAAATATATCGACAGCAGAAGCAGAACCGGCATTGTCTTTACTTTGAACTACCAGAATTAATCTACTGGTTGTAGGTTCCTATCAGGTCCTATCACATACCGTAACATAGAAATTGTGGGTCCTACGTTTGAGGTACTGCACCAGGCGCAAGACCAGCCCCTGAAGCGAACACGATACCTGAGCTGCAAGAGCTTTCCGAAATGAGTGCTTCCCGGTTTTCGAGTCGTATGATCACTCGTGTTGATGAAAACATGGCACCTATTGAACAAGCCCTACAGCCTGAAAGACCCAAACCAATATCAGACGAACATTCTGCAACTGCCGTTTCGAAACCCCGTGAAGCACAACGACGCCACCTCAGCCATCCTATCAAACGTCAACGCTGAAAGCCATAAGTCGAACTCCCCGCCCCCTCCATTTGCCCGGCCCAAAACCTAAACCCTGAAAACATAAGGTTCCTGATTATGGCTTGTATAATACAGTTCCGGGCCCCTAAACCCGCAACCCTAAACCTCAGTAAACACCAAACCCTGAACCCTAATCCCCGAACCTTTAACCCTAAACCCCTTATGGATCCCTGTTAAGGAACCCGAAACCCTAAACCGGCCTCATCTGCGCCAGCACCGCAGCCAACTGCTGCGACAGCGGCGGAGCACCCGGCAGGGGCAGAGGCAAGGCCGGCCCGCAACTGAGTTGAAAAGTTCAGGTAACCAAAAACAGAGGGCTTGGGGTTTAGAGTTTAGGGTTTAGGGAATCTTACAGTAGCAATCATGCAAATAAGAATCAGAGAAATTGAGGCAGCCAGAGAAAGAACCAGCAGTAGCTAGCCGTTGTAATCATACTCATAGTCACAGGGTGAATTGAGTTGAAAACTAATTAAGGTAGCCAGATAAAACAACTGTAGTAGCGGTGCTTATGCCCATGCTAAGACTAGCACTAATACTAAGTTTAATACTAATGCTAATCATAACACTGATAATGTTAATCCTGTAATATCAAAATATTCAAAGTGATGACAATAATTAGTTAATCTATAGGTAACATCCGTAATTCCATAAAACGGGCATCATGCTAAGTTTCAGATACCTCGACCCCAAACCCTACATTCCCTAAACCCTTAACCCAGAAGCTTGGGTTTCTTCGTTTAGGGTTTAGGGCTCTGCGGGATGTTGACCCCCCCCCCCACCGGTGTGCGATGGTCTTCGCGTTGGATGGTACATGAACTACAACACCAAGGTCGTACCTTCCCGACAGGTCTCTATAAGTTTTCTGAGAATCGTTTGTATACCGGCCGTTGTAAGACATTCTTTTTAGTGGGTAAAGGGATGGAATTCTTGTAAGCCCGAACTAAACCCCAACTGCTCCAGATTCCACTCAATCGCCAAACCCTAACATCCTAAAGGCACACACCCTGAGCCCTTAAACCCCCAAGCCGTAAAGCTCCAAACCCAGCAATATAGGGGCCTTGATAATTTTGGGATCCGTTATACTCGAATTATAACACGGAACCCCCCCAACATAGTATTGGTATTTGTTTAGGCCCCTATAGTACTCCTGGAATTTCATCCAAGGAACACGTAGTTTGCTGGCTCGTAGCCGCGCTGGATGGATTCCACGAAGGAGATCGCGCTGGCGACCTGATATAGGAGTTTCAGAAAGTTAGGGGTACCTTAGGGTTCCTTTAAAGGAGTACTTGAAGGGTTCCTAGAAGGGATCAAAAAAGGGTTAAGGGTTTAGGTTTGGAGTTTCCGGAAGTTAGGGGTACCTTATTCTGGGGTCCTTATAATTAAGATCCAACTATTTAGGGTGCTATATTAGGCCCCTATTTTCGGAAAGTCCCATATAGGTGCCTTCATAATCCATGGGGCTCCAAAAAGCCCAAAGTAGGTAGCATTCATAGACTTTGGGTACTATTCGTATACTAGCCCTGCGGAATGAGACTAGGGTTTCCTTGAATTGAAGCGGTTTCTATGGTTCTATAAGGTTTACTACAATGGTTTGGCTTTAGGGCGTTGGGGATAATAGGAAAACAGAGGGTCAAGGGATAGTATTTCTGAATAATCAAGCTTCTTGATGGTAGCTCTGGGTACCGAAGTCTTACAACAAGGAATACTTGGATCCTTGACCTATGGTTTAGGTACCCTTGGGTTGATATGGGTGTCGGGTCTTTTCGTGGTGCACGCATGTCCACCGTGTTCACGCCCTAACACCCTGATAATCACAGTCAGGTGCCCGTCAGTTTGAAGATTTCCGTCTCCACGCTCAGGCGGTTCGCTAAATCCGGCTCAGCACTGGGTAGAACTGCTACGGGTGATGTGGTTCAAAAGGCCGGTAAATTGCAGAGAGTTCTGAAAGGAAAGGGCTTTCGAGTGGATTCGGGGTTCTGGGCCTGTAGGGATAAATTAGGGTACCGTAAAGGCCGTAATGATTCGAATCGGGTTTTGGGGGCTTCTTATTGTAATTATGGTTTAGTATACCCCCGCCCTATTCTAATTGTTAAGCCCTTACACTAAGGTCTTCCGAAACTGAGGGTGCTTTCAGTCAGAGACCCCTTCGCCCCTTTTGGGTAATAATGCCACCGTCAACCCATTAGATGATCATTCCTATACTCCCCCCTACACATCACCGATATATCACTACTACTTCCCCCATTAGATGATCATTCCTACACTCCCCCCTACGCTTCACCGATATATCACTTCTACTACCCCATTATCAACACAATTCTAGGAATAACCATAACCCCATCTATTATCTCTAAGGTGGCATTATTACTGAAAAGGGGCAAGGGGGTTCGCGTAGGATTTGGTTCAGGTTTTGGGGTTGAGGGTTGCAAGCCCTGAGGTTCTATGGCATGACCGCGAAGTATTTCAGCGCTACCCTGACAAATTTCTAGCTACCCCAACTCCACACCCCAGCAAACTCAAGGACATGGCATTCTTTTTGGCTTTGGGACTAGGTTGGGGCCTGAGGCTCATCAAGATTCATCGTGAAGATTCTTTGTCACGGCCTTGTCACCTGCAACTTGCTCTTGTCGCGAATAGCCTGTCGTCAGCATCGTAACGTGATTCAGCTTTGCTGAAAGGTTCTTGGTGGGACAACAACACCGAGTCCTGCGCGTGGTGGCACCACGACGCACTGCTCCACTGGCTGGGAGGCTGGAGCTTGCGAAAACTCAGAGCTGGGAAACACAGACTCCACTGCAGCTTCAGTTGCCCTCTGTCCACGGCAGCTCTCCGTCATTGAGAGGTCTCTCACAGCGCCAATCATGTCGGCCATATTGGGGACGTCTCCAAGCATTTGACGGTTTTCCAAAACGAACTTGTGCAATCGGGTTGCAAGGGCACGCTTGTAGACCATGTCGGGACGGAACTTGTCAAAAGATACCTTGTGCAGCTGCAGGCCCGAGTTGCCTTGGTCGCCAGCTTTCCAGTCACGGTAAGCGTGTAGCGTAGCACTTTCCAGCCTTGAGCCTGCCCCAAGACATCAGGAATGAGGGCCAATTTGTGGGAATCAAACCCGTAATGACACGTGCCTTTTCTGCCATGGGAGCCGCATAGAAGAATAAAGTTTCGCAAAGAATTCACGTCAAAGTTGTTGGCGAAACCTTCCTGGAAGTACCCAGCACGAGGTGCCAAGTGCGCGCACGACAGCTTGGGCTGCACACCGCGCATGGCATCCGAATACTCATCTTCTCCGCAAAATGCGCACTTGTTCTCGTATCTTCTTCTGACGCCACGCTTCACCGCAGATGGAATGGTTCCCGCCCCGTCTCCAGTCGTTTGTCCAAAGGCAGATAGGTTGGGATCCAAAGTCGCACGTTGAAGCAACATACTCGACTCGTAGAATGGCCGACTTACCTCATAAACCTTGTCCCGATGAACCTGAGTGCAAAAACGCTTTTACACTGAAGTGACAGCACAACTCACCCATCTATCACCCTAGGAACAAAACTAAAAACACCCAACCCCCTAAACCCAACTAAGCAACCCAATCAACTAACCCAATCGGGAAACCTACGAGGAAACCAAACCCAGGGGGAATAAACCACTATGCTACAAACAAAGGGCCAACCCCTAAACCCAATAAGTAAGTTAATCAACTAAGCCTATCGGGGGGGGGACAAGATGACCAAAAAAAACCATAACCCCTAAACCCATTACGTAAAGTAATCAACTAAGCCTATCCGGGGGGGGGGGGGGGCAAGATGACCAACAAAAACATAACTGACTACAAAATAACATAGGAAAAGGTGCGACGATTATGTTATGATAGAGCGAAAGGCTGGTGGTGATGATTGCATTTCTGGATGAATCCGATTGTAGAGGGATTGCGCTAACGCCGTAGATCTCGCAGAATCCGTTGTTTGTTTCATTGCTTCGGTCAACTGAGCTACGCTGGCTTCTAGCAAAGCACGGCGAGTGTATCCTGCAAGAGCCGTGGTCACAATCGTGACGTCTTCTTCCTCGTATTCCAAATCAAGGAGCTCTCCCCTTAACCATTCAGACACTTTGGCCCTGTCTGCTTCAACATCAGCCAGTCTTTGCCTTTTCGGCAGCGGTTCTCCCATTGCGTTGTGCAAGGACACCAGCAAACGGGACACAACATGATCTGCTACCAGGCACTCTGTTCTGCTGTGGCATAAGATCTTGCATTCAGTGTGTGCATGAAACAGTGCTGTGCAGCTACAAACACTCACAAACACGAAACTACAGGCCAAGACCTCAACAGAACTCCGCTCTGAACCAGCCGAAAGCGATAGCGGCACTACGTCAAGTCCCCTACTGAGTGTGACAGAATGAAACATGTCCGCGTGTCTACATCGCAACTTTCGACCACACCAAGGACAAATGCCAGCTGTGCACCCCCGCACTCCTGAGAGTTCCTGAGCTACTCACAACTCAAAATTTCAAGTTGTGTAGCGACTCACATCTTCAGGTTGCTAGTCGTAGAACAGCTTCGAACTCAAGTTGCGAAAACCCACACAACTTGAAAGATGCAGGAAAATCACACCTTTAACAACTCAAAACGCAAGTACGCCCTATCAATACCTTCAACATAATAATATTTTTGACCCAGTTTTTCGTCAGTTCTATGGTATAAACATTTTGGCTAAAATTGCACACTCTCTCTTTTTCGTTGGGCTTCCTCTTCCTGAATATTTTAACTTCATCACCAACACTTAATTCAGGGTAGACCCGATTTCGTTTAGCATTCATATTCAAACGCAGTTTAACTTTTAATTCGTTACTTGGTTTTCTGGCATCCTTTGGGGTGAAGCCAGTAGCGGAATGTTTCATTTTATTATTGTATGTTAATAATATTTCAAAAATAAAATCCGTCCACTGAATATTGTTTTTACCCTTTTTCTGATCAGCCTCAACACGACGATATAATAAATCTTTGAACGTCCTAATGGCCCTTTCGCTGAAATTTGCGTGTGCCCTAGTTCTATAGTGTTCTATGTTATGTTCCTGTAAATACTTTTGTATTGCCTCCTTCTTCATTGCTCCCTCGTCGTCGGTATAAATTAGTTTGGGCTTCTTCCCCATTTTATGTAAGCATTCAATCATCCCACTCGCTAAATCTTCTTCCTTCTTACCTTTAATTGCCACGACATGCATAAACTTATCAAATATATCAATCATTAACATTCCTACTCTAAATTTTTGATCCTTCAAGTCGTTGATAAAAAACAAATCCATCTGATACTCATATGCTGAATGCGGGGCGACAAAGCTATTTGAACCGACGGGCTTACGCTTTTGATCAACATTCTTCCTAAAAAACTCGTTAATATCAGACATTGTGATGGTTTTATCTTTCTCCCGTGCTTCTTCTAAAGTCCGGCTTTTTGAACCAAACCCCGCGCGATCAAAATACACATCATTAATAATTTTTTGCTTCTCACTCATATAAAAACAAAAGAAAATAATGATTTAATAATTGAATTAAATCATCATTCGGACATCGGCATTATGACCTTGCAGTTCTTCATGTCATATTTTACCGAGCCGTGCTTGGGCTTCATCGGCTTCTTTGCATTCAATATTTCTGATAGCAATTCATCGTTAATCTCCTCGGGCTTCAGTGTGATATTGTTAGCTTGTTCATACTCCTTGATCTTCTTTTTCTGGTTGTGTCTTTGTGCAGATTCCCGTTTCTTTTGCATGTACGCCTCATCCGTGTTGCGCTTGTGATAATACAATCTGTTGTATATGGCGAGTTGCTCTTTGATTTCTTCTATTGTCATATCCTCGGGCTTCTTGCTCATATTACTATACTATATATATTATTTTTTCTTTAGATGCATTTTCTTTAAAAGAAGTCTTCAGAAAAACTCATTTAAAGGGAAATTTTAATATATAGTTTAATTATATTAGTATACGGCGATGATTTTTAAATACCCGGACATCTAAACAAGTTAAACAGGTGTGTCATACTACTTCCGTGGGCATTGTCTCTGGGCCGCCCAATTTTAAAACACACGGAAAGACAACAACACGAGACTCCAGCCCGCAGACTCCGTCCTCCAACCTTCGCCTCTCCAGCCCTCTTCCCAGCCCTTCAGCCCTCCAGCCTTCCAGCCTTCCAACCCCTCCTGCCATCCAGCCAGCCTTCCAACCTTCCAGCCTTCCAGTTTCAGCCCCTCCAGCCTTCCAGCCCCTCCAGCCTTCCAGCCCAAGCCTTCCAGCCCTCCAGCCTTCCAACCTTCCAGCTCTCCAGCCTTCCTTCCTTCCAGCCCTCTAGCCTCTCAGCCCTGCAAACTTCCAACCCTCCAGCCTTCCAGCCCTCCAGCCTTCCAGCCTTCCAGCCTTCCAGCCCCTCCAGTCTTCCAGCCTTCCAGCCTTCCAGCCTCTCCCGCCTTCCAGCCTTCCACTCTTCAAGGCTTCCAGCCCTCCAGCCTTCCAGCCTTCCAGCCCTGAGCCCTCCAGCTTTCCAAACCCTCCAGCCCTCTAGCCCTCAAGCCTTTCAGCTCTCCAACCCTCCGCCCTGCAGCCTTCCCTCCAGCCCTTCCCGTTTCCAGCCTTCCACCCACCCAGCTGAAGGCTGGAGGGCTAGAAGGCTGGAAGGCTGGAAGGCTACAAAGCTGGAAGGCTGGAAGGCTGGAGAGGGCTGGAAGGCTGGAGAGGGCTGGAGGGCTGGAGGGCTGGAAGGCTGGAAGGCTGGAAGGCTGGAAGGCTGGAAGGCTGGAAGGCTGGAGGGCTGGAAGGCTGGAAGGCTGGAGGCTGGAAGGCTGGAAGGCTGGAAGGCTGGAAGGCTGGAAGGCTGGAAGGCTGGAAGGCTGGAAGGCTGGAAGGCTGGAAGGCTGGAGGCTGGAAGGCTGGAGGGCTGGAGGGCTGGAAGGCTGGAAGGCTGGAAGGCTGGAAGGCTGGAAAGGCTGGAAGGCTGGGCTGGAAGGCTGGAAGGCTGGAAGGCTGGAAGGCTGGAAGGCTGGAAGGCTGGAAGGCTGGAAGGCTGGAAGGCTGGAAGGCTGGAAGGCTGGAGGCTGGAAGGCTGGAAGGCTGGAAGGCTGGAAGGCTGGAAGGCTGGAAGGCTGGAAGGCTGGAAGGCTGGAGAAGGCTGGAAGGCTGGGCTGGAAGGCTGGAAGGCTGGAAGGGAAGGCTGGAAGGCTGGAAGGGAAGGCTGGAAGGCTGGAGGCTGGAAGGCTGGAAGGCTGGAAGGCTGGAAGGCTGGAAGGCTGGAAGGCTGGAAGGCTGGAAGGCTGGAAGGCTGGAAGGCTGGAAGGCTGGAGGGCTGGAAGGCTGGAAGGCTGGAAGGCTGGAAGGCTGGAAGGCTGGAAGGCTGGAAGGCTGGAGGTTGGGAAGGCTGGAAGGCTGGAAGGCTGGAAGGCTGGAAAGCTGGAGGCTGGGAAGGCTGGAGGGCTGGAAGTAAACACCCGGAGCTAAAACATACGGATTAAAACAGTTGTCTCATACTACCTCTGTTTGGATCTTGGGTTGCCCGCCCCCCACATGTTTTAAAATTCTCACCGTATGTCCAAAGCCATTAAGCGTAATACGGAAGCACTACAAACATTTTATAACAACAGAAGAAACCGCATCAGCCAAGCCACCAGAACAAAAGTTCAAAATATAATTAGCTTATATTCAGATCGTAAGATCGCCCAATTCACCACAGCAGACAATTTAATCAGGAAACTCACCACAGCAAAAACAGACAAAGAAAAAACTAAAGCAGAAAACGAATATAAAAAAATATACGACAAGCACAAGGATAAAGAACAACTAGGTCAAAGAATGACCCAAGCAAAAGAAGACAACACAAGAACGGGAAGAACCAACCCGAGAAAACCAAGAAAGTATTCAATCAATGTCCATTTATACCAATTGAAGACAGAATCACATCAGGGCTTATCAGTATCTTTCAGAGACAGCAGGGGTAGGGCATACGTTCCTATTTATATGCGTGATCTATCAGCCAATGTAGCCACAACACCGTGGGTTGAAAACCTAGCGGGGAGACGAATATTTAGAGACGAGAAGCCCGACACAAAAACATTTCATAGGCTCAAGATGTTGTTAATGACAGATGACAGTTTTAAAGCCGATGTCGGTTATGCTGAAGGTTACATTGCTTGTATTAAAAGTTAATTACGCCGAAAGAGTAGATAACGCCGATGCTTTCAAGCCACAAGGATCCACAGTATGAGACCTTTAAGGAAGCTATTAAAGTAGAACATTATGTTAAGAACGAGTGTTGGTTCAACACCTTGACGGATTATTATAAGGATACCCTTATGGGAGACAAGAAGAGAGAGAAGAACAAACTCACAAAAGAAGCCATCCTAAAAATCATAAATAAGACGGAAGAAGATTTTAAAACAAAAGGGGCGTCAATAACAGATATGGCGAAGGTGTTTGAACATTTTAACTTGCAAGTG